AAAAACCCCAAAAATCCTCCAAAAAAAGCCCCAAAATGCCCCAAAATGCCGATTTCCCCTCAGGTGCCTCCAGGACAACGACTGGGATTACGGCCAGGCCGGCCAGGTCTTCACCCAGCTCAAGGTCAGCCTTTCCCTTTTTTCCCAATTTTTCCTCATTTTCCCTCCATTTTCCCATTTTCCCATTTTTTTCCCAAATTTTCCCCCATTTTTCCCCCAAATTTTCCCCCATTTTTCCCCCAAATTTTCCCCCATTTTTCCCCCAAATTTTCCCCCATTTTTCCCCCAAATTTTCCCCCATTTTTCCCCCAAATTTTCCCCCATTTTTCCCCCAAATTTTCCCCCATTTTTCCCCCAAATTTTCCCCCATTTTTCCCCCAAATTTTCCCCCATTTTTCCCCCAAATTTTCCCCCATTTTTCCCCCAAATTTTCCCCCATTTTTCCCCCAAATTTTCCCCCATTTTTCCCCCAAATTTTCCCCCATTTTTCCCCCAAATTTTCCCCCATTTTTCCCCCAAATTTTCCCCCATTTTTCCCCCAAATTTTCCCCCATTTTTCCCCCAAATTTTCCCCCATTTTTCCCCCAAATTTTCCCCCATTTTTCCCCCAAATTTTCCCCCATTTTTCCCCCAAATTTTCCCCCATTTTTCCCCCAAATTTTCCCCCATTTTTCCCCCAAATTTTCCCCCATTTTTCCCCCAAATTTTCCCCCATTTTTCCCCCAAATTTTCCCCCATTTTTCCCCCAAATTTTCCCCCATTTTTCCCCCAAATTTTCCCCCATTTTTCCCCCAAATTTTCCCCCATTTTTCCCCCAAATTTTCCCCCATTTTTCCCCCAAATTTTCCCCCATTTTTCCCCCAAATTTTCCCCCATTTTTCCCCCAAATTTTCCCCCATTTTTCCCCCAAATTTTCCCCCATTTTTCCCCCAAATTTTCCCCCATTTTTCCCCCAAATTTTCCCCCATTTTTCCCCCAAATTTTCCCCCATTTTTCCCCCAAATTTTCCCCCATTTTTCCCCCAAATTTTCCCCCATTTTTCCCCCAAATTTTCCCCCATTTTTCCCCCAAATTTTCCCCCATTTTTCCCCCAAATTTTCCCCCATTTTTCCCCCAAATTTTCCCCCATTTTTCCCCCAAATTTTCCCCCATTTTTCCCCCAAATTTTCCCCCATTTTTCCCCCAAATTTTCCCCCATTTTTCCCCCAAATTTTCCCCCATTTTTCCCCCAAATTTTCCCCCATTTTTCCCCCAAATTTTCCCCCATTTTTCCCCCAAATTTTCCCCCATTTTTCCCCCAAATTTTCCCCCATTTTTCCCCCAAATTTTCCCCCATTTTTCCCCCAAATTTTCCCCCATTTTTCCCCCAAATTTTCCCCCATTTTTCCCCCAAATTTTCCCCCATTTTTCCCCCAAATTTTCCCCCATTTTTCCCCCAAATTTTCCCCCATTTTTCCCCCAAATTTTCCCCCATTTTTCCCCCAAATTTTCCCCCATTTTTCCCCCAAATTTTCCCCCATTTTTCCCCCAAATTTTCCCCCATTTTTCCCCCAAATTTTCCCCCATTTTTCCCCCAAATTTTCCCCCATTTTTCCCCCAAATTTTCCCCCATTTTTCCCCCAAATTTTCCCCCATTTTTCCCCCAAATTTTCCCCCATTTTTCCCCCAAATTTTCCCCCATTTTTCCCCCAAATTTTCCCCCATTTTTCCCCCAAATTTTCCCCCATTTTTCCCCCAAATTTTCCCCCATTTTTCCCCCAAATTTTCCCCCATTTTTCCCCCAAATTTTCCCCCATTTTTCCCCCAAATTTTCCCCCATTTTTCCCCCAAATTTTCCCCCATTTTTCTCGCTTTTTTTCCCAAATTTTCCCCCATTTTCCCCCTGATTTTCCCCCCTTTTCTTCTCCATTTTCCCCCAATTTTCCCCCTTTTTCCCCTGGTTTTTTCCCCATTATTTTTCCCATTTCCTCTGGTTTTTCCCATTTTTTTACCCATTTTCCCCCCTTTTTTCCCTGTTATTTTCCCTGTTATTTTCCCCTTTTTTCCCCATTATTTCCCCCATTTTTTCGCCATTACTTCTCCATTTTTTCCCCATTATTTTTCCCCATTTTCCCCCATTATTTTCCCCATTACTTTTCCAATATTTTCCCTGTTACTTTTCCCCGTTTTTCCCCATTATTTCCCATTATTTCCCCCGTTATTTTCCCCTTTTCCCCCCATTTTTCCCCATTATTTTTCCAATATTTTCCCCGTTATTTTCCCCATTTTTCCCCCATTTTCCCCCCGTTATTTCCCGTTATTTTTCCCCATTTTTCCCCGTTATTCCCCCGTTATTCCCCCGTTATTCCCCGTTATTTCCCCCTTTATTCCCCGTTATTTCCCGTTATTTTTCCCCATTTTTCCCCGTTATTTCCCCATTATTCCCCCGTTATTTCCCCATTATTTCCCCCGTTATTCCCCGTTATTTCCCGTTATTTGCATTTTTCTCCTTCCCAGCTCGAAGGGAAGATTCCCGAGGTCGCTTTTCTCAAGTGAACGTTGGAGATCCCCGCCCCCTCCCCGGGCCCCGCTCCCGTGTTCGAGTCCTTTCGATCCCCCCGAGTTTTGTAAATAAACCGATCGATTATTGATTATTGAGGAGTGATTAATTACCGATTATTAATTATTGCCCGCGGCGCCTTTAAGGGGGGGGCGGTGAGGGCAGGGCGGGAACGTGCCAGCAACAAAGATGGCGGCGGGGGCGGATCCCGATTGGTTGATGCCGAATTAGCGCCACAGCCGATTGGCTGAGCCGCTACGTGCAATCCAATTGGCTGCGGGTCGTTTCTCTCCTCACCCGATTGGCTGATGCCCTGCGCGACCCGGAAGCGCCGCGCTGCGTGACCCGGAAGTACCGGCGGCGCCGCCCGGCATGGCGGCGCGGGCGGCGCTGGACGCGGCGGTGGCGGCGGCGTCGCGGGACGTGGTTCTGTACGAGCACGACCGCAGCCGCTTCTTCCGCCTCGTGGGGCTCTTCTGCGCGGGGCAGGGCCTCCTCTGGGCCTACCTGGCGCGCTTCGCCTTCACCGCGCTGCGCCCCGTGCCCGCTCCCGGTGCCGGCACCGATGACCCGCTGCGGCCCCGCGACAACAAGTGGCGCTTTGGCTTCACGGCGTCCTGCCTCACCGTCGGTAACGAGCGAGCGGGGCCGGGAGCGGGGGGGAACCGGGAGCGGGGACACAGCGGGGCACGGGAAGGGCACCGGGGCGGGGGAACCGGGACTGGGCCGGGGGTCGGGGGACGGCACCGGGGTCACACCGGGCACCGGGGGCTCCCATTGGGGTCACACCGGGGCCGGGCCGGGCTCAGGGGAGGGCACCGGGGCTTCCACTGGTGTCACACTGGGATCGAACCGGGCACCGGGGTTCTCACCGGGCTCACACCGGGGCCGGGCTGGGCTGAAGGGAGGGGACCGGGAGCTCCCACCGGGGTCACACCGGGCACCGGGGGCATCCACCGGGGCTCGGGAGGGCACCGAGGGCTCTCACCGGGGCTCGGGGGGATCTCGGGGGCTCCCACCGGGGCTCGGGGGGGGGCCGCCGCACGCTGACGGTGCCGCTGCGGGACGTGTCCGGCCGCGCCCACCGCCGCCAGGCCGGCACCGGCACCGTGCCGCTCAAGGTGCGCGGCCGCCCGCTCTTCTTCCTCGTGGACACCGCGGGAACCATGCGGGAGCCGCGGCTCTTCGACGTCACCGTGGGAGCCTTCCGCTTCTAGGGACACCACCGGGGACACCGGGGACAGCGAGGGGACACCGGGGGGACATCACCGGGACAGCGAGGGGACACCAGGACAGCTCCGGGAGCGTTCCGCTTCTAGGGACACCACCGGGGACACCGGGGACAGCGAGGGGACACCGGGGGGACATCACCGGGACAGCTCCGGGAACCCAGGACAGCTCCGGGAGCGTTCCGCTTCTAGGGACACCACCGGGGACATTGGGGACACTGAGGAGACACCGGGGACATCACCGGGACACCGGGACAGCTCCAGGAGCCTTCTGCTTCTAGGGACACCACCGGGACACCAGGAACATCACCGGGACAGCTCCAGGAACCACGGCTGTTCGATGTCACCGTGGGAGTGTTCCGCTTCTAGGGACACCACCGGGGACATTGGGGACACTGAGGAGACACCGGGGACACGACGGGGACACCGGGCCGTGGCCTGGAGACGGCAGGGACGCTGAGGGGACACGGAGGGGACACGGCGGCGGGAGCACCCGGTGGCACCTCCTGTCAACCGCTGTCACCTGCTGTCACCTCCTGACAGCCAGCGTCACCTGCGGTCTCCTGCTGTCACCTGGTGTCACCTCCTGTCACCTGTGGTCACCTGATGTCACCTCCTGTCACCTGACAGCCAGTGTCACCTCCTGTCACCTGTGGTCACCTCCTGTCACCCGGTGTCACCTGTGGTCACCTGATGTCACCGGTGTCCCCCTCCTGTCCCCCCGCGGCACGGCCGTGGGGACAGTGCCGTTGTCCCAAACTGTCCCAAACTGTCCCAAATTGTCCCAAATTGTCCCAATCTGTCACAACCTGTCCCCTGTCACCCCCCCAGAATAAAGCGTGGAGCCCCCCCCGCCCCCCGGCTCTCTGAGGAAGGATTTTGGGGAGGGGGTCTCCCCTGGATTGTCACCTGTGTCACTTTGTGTCCCCCTCGGCGATCGGGGACAGCCCGGGGGGGCCGAGGGGACCCCGCGCCGGGGGTGTCACCCCCAAACCCTGGGACCCCCCCGGGATCTGGGGGGGATTTGGGGGAACCCCACGGGGGACACCGGGATTGTCACCCCCTGTCACCCTCTGGGGACACCCCCGGCCCCGGGGGGGATTTGGGGTCCCAGCCCCCCCCAACCTGGACAGGTTTTGGGGTGTTTGGGATGAGGGGATTTGGGTCAGGAGGGGCCGATTTTGGGGATTTTGGGGTTTTTTTTAGGGATTTTTGGAGTTTTTGGGGTTTTTTTGGGGGTCCCTGAGCTCCCCCTCCCCACCGGCATTTTGGGGGGGACCCCAATGGGGACGACGGCAGGGGCGGGGCAGGGCGAATGCAAATGAGCGGGCGGGTAATTAACATTATGGAGAGGCGGGGTTATGCTAATCAACAACGGATCGGGAACGAGGCGGGGCGAATGCAAATAAAGGTGAGCAATCGGCCAATGACGTTGCGAGGCGGGAAAAAGCGGTGGGCGGGGCTACGAAAGAACGCCGGGTGGCTATTTGCATGAGAAGGCGGGGTTATGCGGATTAAGTCACCTGCAATGCGCGAAGGGCATGCTGGGAGGATATTTTACGGGGGATTTCGGGGTTTTGGGGAACCGGATCGTGCGGGACGCGGGAGGAAAGTGCGGGCCGGGCTGGGAGAGAGGCCGGGAAGGGCACGGGGAGGTCGGCGGGCGCGGCGCGGGGGTGTCCGTGAGGTACGGGCGGGTCGGGCGGGGCCGGGCTCGGCGGCGGGCGGGGCTCGGGCATCGCTTCTCGGCCTTTTGGCTAAGATCAAGTGTAGTATCTGTTCTTATCAGTTTAATATCTGATACGTCCTCGATGAGAGGACTTTATATTAAACGGATTTTTGGGCTCGGGAGTTGGACCCGGAGCTTGCTCCCTCCGCTCCGCGCATCGTCCCGGTATTGCAGTGCCTCCGGGAACGGTGCACCCCCACGGGGACCTTTATTGGTGAAAAACAGATTAAAATATTATTAAAAAATTCTTCTTTTCACATTTTAATTTCCGGTTTGCGGTGGTTTGCCCGCGGTTCGGTATCAAAACGTCCCCGCGGGTTTCCGTGACTCCGCCATTTCTGGCTTCTCCCTCACGTCCCCTCACAGCGCGCCGCAAAATGGCGGCGCCTTCCCCGCGCTGCTCCCTGAGGTTAAACTCCGTCATTTCGGCGCTTTCTGGGTGAAACTGGAGTTTTGCGCGGGTAAGAATAAATATTTACAGCGTTAAAAGGGTGTAATGGGAGACTTTGAGGGGTTTTAGTGAATGAATCCGTGAGGGGAGGTAGGAACAGCAAGGGGAGGCAATGCGAGTTTTCTGAGGGAAACGCGGCGCAGTCTCCGCCTCGGCTCTTCCTCCGCGCCGGCTCCCAATTTCAAACTAAACAAATTTCGTTTATTTTCTGTATTTCACACATTTTTAACCCATTTCTCCCGAAGCGCTCTCTCCGCTTCATCCACCGAAACAAAATGGCGGCGGCGCGGCGGGCGGGAAACTGCGCGTGAGGCGAGCGCCCCCTTCGCCCTCAGCCGCCAATCGGAGCGCGGCTTTTCGCCGTCGCTGGGCAGAACAGCGCGGCCGGGGCCAATCAGAAAATCCGAGCGGCTGGCGCAGGCCGCGCGCGGGGAGGGAAGGAGGGGAAGAGGCGAAGCCGCCGCCGCCACACTCGCAGGGACCGTTGCGCACGTAGGTGGGGCTGAGGGGGAGGGAGGGGGACAGCGGCGACAGCGCCTGCGCGCGGCGCCAGCCGCCCTTCCCGCGCATGCGCCGCGCCTGCGCGGTGCGGCGGCGCGGGCGGGGTTTGGTGCGGCGCGCAGGC